TTTAGATCCCATGGAATCCAGGGAGAGCTAGCCATTTGAATACAAAAATCGGCTTGAAGGTAGGAGACAGAAGATGGTGGTGCAAGGTTGCTTTTCAGGCCGAGGCCTGTGCCACAGGATCAGTGGTGGGTCCACTGCTTTTTGTCATTTACGTAAATGATTTGAATGTGAATATAGGAGGAATGTTAGTAAGTTTGCAGATGAGACCAAAATTGGTAGTGCAGTGGACAGTGAAGGTGGTTATCTCAGAGTACAATGGGACCATGATGAGATGGGCTGAGGAGTAGCGGATGGAGTTTAATTTAGATAAATGTGAGGTGTTGCATGTTGGTAAGGCAAATCAGGGCAGGACTTGTCCAGTTAATGGTAAGGTCTTGGGGAGTGTTGCTGAACAAAGAGACCTTGGAGTGCAGGTTCATAGTTCCTTCAAAGTGGAGTCGCAGGTAGTCAGGATAGTGAAGGCATTGGTACACTTGCCTTTATTGGACAGTGCATTGAGTATAGGAGTTAGGATGTCATGTTGCAGCTGTACAGGATGTTAGTTAGCCCATTTTGGAATACTGCATTCAATTCAGGTCTTCCTGCTACAGAAAAGACTTTGTTGAACTTGAAAGGGTGCAGAAAAGATTTACAAGGATATTGCTGGGGTTGGAGTGTTTGAGCTATACAGACAGGCTGAATAGGCTGGGGGTCTTTTCCCTGGAGCATCAAAGGCTGAGGAGTGACCTTATAGAGGTTTGTAAAATCATAGGGGGCATGGGCAGGGTGAATAGCCTTTTCCCCACGATAGGTGAGTCCAAAACTAGAGGGCACAGGTTTAAGGTGAGAGGGGTAAGATTCAAAAGAGATCTGAGGGGCAACCTTTTCACGCAGATGGTGGTGCATGAATGGAACGAGCTGCCAGAGGAGGCCGGTACAACTGCAACATTTAGAAAGGCATCTGGATAGGTACATGAATAAAAAGGGTTTAAGATGGATACGGGCCAAATACTGGCAAAAGGGGACTAGATTAATTTTGGATACTTGGTTGGCATGGAGAGTTGGACCAAAGGGTCTGTTTCCGTACTGTGCAACATTATGACTCTCATAGTTACTTCATTTATTTTAAAATACTATACTTAGGAGGAAACCTAATTGCTAAATTGGCACAAAGTCATAATGATGTAGGTGGGTCTAACATTATGTTTATTCCTGACAGCATTATTGCTGCAATCAGTGACTATAATGCTGAAAACCTGGGAAAATCTGAAAACTGATGAGGCAAAACCAAATGTAACCTTTTAATTTTCTTGCACTTTCCAAGCCTTGTTTGCAAAGTACAGGGCTAGTAATAATATTTGCCAAATAAAAAAGCAATCCAATGGGACAGTCTTGAATCAAACTGAAGAACAAAAGGTTTAGTGGTCCAGTATCAGGTCCAGATTTAAGAAAAGGTAGAATTCCAAGATGCGATTCTGCTGAAAAATCCCCATCTCTCAAATTTATAATCTAGGCCAATCATATAGAATACAAGATTTTCACTGTGTTTGGATGAGCTGATCAATCTTGCTTACTTCAGTGTGGCTGCTAATACAAGTACCATCCGTCCCTACTGGCTGTGGAACACTTTTCCTGGATTCTGCATCTGTGAGTGAAGATCTCCTATTAAAGAAAATGATTAGCCATTACTAGTAGATCTCTTCTGACACTGTCATGGGTAGTTCAAGGTCAGGACAACAGTTCCTGAAGCCTATTACATTTCCACAAGGTCTCTGATGAAGAGTCAAACTGTTGTTTCTGTTAATATACTGCATGCAGATTATATCTAGATTATTCATTCTTAAGTCAGCACCATTGTGCCTCCATGCTCAATGTCATTTTCCAGAGGGAAAGAAATGCCATGTGTTTCATTGACAACAGTGGCCCAAGTATACACAATCACAAATAACTGAGATGAGTCATAAATCAATTTTTTCTACAAGTATCATTCATTCTCCCTTATTCTTTTAAGGATTGATCTGTTCTATCAGTTCCCATAAATCTTATTCTCAAACATAAACAGAGACTTACCCTCCATATCCTGACTAAGCCTGGTCCAATTTACTGAAAACAATCTAATGCACTATCAGTTGTCATTGGTCAATGCGTTTACTAGCAAGTACTTGGACAGAAGAAACACCATTAATAAAAGAAGATTGCTGGAAACCAACAACCTTGTTTGTAAAGAATTTTTTCATTACTCTCAGTGGTAATTTTAAAAGAATATTATCATACCAAAGGAAACAGTATTGACCTACTTAGAAGTCAAAGAGTATACAGAATTTTAAAAACCACTCTTCCAATCTCATTTTAGCACCACTGCTTCAGTGGAGGAATGTTAATATTACAGTTTTACTTACAACTATGGTTTTCTACTCTTATCATCCTCAAAGACCCTATATTACATGTCCCTGTTTCTGTAACATCCTTTAACTAACTTCATATAGTGCTCCATTTGTGGCCAAACCAACATTTAATTATTTACTGGTCTATTTCATACTTCTATAGATAACTTGAAATCTTGTTGGTATTATTTATGACTTTATGGCACCTGCATTCAAACATTTTCAGGGAAGTTATGTATTGAACCCAGAGTTCGTTTACTCACATCCTTTAGCATCTTTCCATTGAGTGCATGCACCAATTCCTTACTTTACTGCCAAAGTCTAACAAACACACTGTAATCTTTTCAGACCAGAACTTCCAAATTCAGGAACACCAGTTTGTCTGAAATGTTTTCCAGCAGATCCTACAACTCGTGACCTGGTCAATCATGGCACTGCAACTATCCTGAACTCACTGTATTGATGCTGCCTTACAGCAAGAAATAGTTGTGAACCTTAAGGGAGAGGGAGGCATGCCATGTTTGTGTGCTGCCATGGCACAAGCCACGGCAGGCAAAGCGCAATTTAGTCAATGACATGAATTTAGTGCAAAAGAAACAGGGAGTTCATTCAGCTGAGCCAGAAAGTGAGTGGCAGCTTCAAACTTGGCTGCATACTTGTTCCTGACGATTGTACAGCTGCTCAACTTCATTGCTCGCAAGCTAGTGACTCTGACAACTAAATGAAAAGTCAGGGAAACTGATTACTATCGGTGTGTGTGTGGTGGGGGTTTGAGTGGGAATTGGGTGGGGGGGTATTGCTTATTACTGTGCTCAGAGTTAAAGTAAGCTGATACTGGTAAATGATTTTGACAACACTGGTAAAGTGAGTTCTGATTGACTAAGAACGTCAAATCAGTGCAATTGTCTTCAAATATAAATGATGAATACATTGGGCTTTAAAGAATACTTGTTGAAAGGAGGATATTGCTTAGTTTTTGTTGTTACTCCATTTTATTCTGGACCTAATTATAGTGAGATCCCCTTCTTGAAAGGGAAAAGGGATAAACAACTTTTAGAGAGGTTGAGAATCCATATTTTTTCAGAAGTATTTGAAAAAGTGCACTTTCATGTTGTAATGCTACCTTTGCTATGTTTCATCCCTCAGGTACCTATTTATATCAGCTCACACACATTACGTTAGACATGATAACGTTACTGTATAATGCAGAAAATTGGAATTTAAAAATGCTTTTTGTTAGGAACAACATAGTAATTCAAATTTAATTTATATTTTGTATTTGCGTGCATCTAAGAAGGGCTGAATATGGTTTTACTTTCAATTTTTCAAGAGTTGTTTTTGTGATATGATGCTAAGGAGTCTGTCTACTGTGATACAGGTTAATAATTTACGTTTTTTTTAAATACAGATTTTATTCTGTGTTAAAGTACTGGCATGTTTAAGGAGGAAATAAAATCACAGTCTACCAACCTGAAATCTGTCCAGTATTAACATGAAATGAGATTATGATATTATGAATGAAGACAATCCAGACTGGAGCGGTTACAGTAAGTATAATGGCATCAAGTGAACATAACATGGACTCCTAGTGTACATGCTTTCAATCTTCTCTAACATCAAATGTCCCCCACTAGCCATTTGTTGCTGTTTCATCCATATTGTGTCAACAAATATACAAACCAAAACAATGCAGATCCTGGGAAATGTGAAATCTATCAGATATTTCTAGAAATACTTAAATAATGAGGCTTCTGTACAGAAACCTGAAGCGTTAACATGGTTTCCATTGCTTAGGTTGTAATATTGAGAGTGGATTGTCCAACTTATAATGCCAACTTGATTCTCATTCTATTTAAACTTTTCAGTAATCTACTCCATCAGGTTAGCACCAAGGCAATAAAGTTAAAAACTAAACTGGAAATTTCAGATATTTTATCAAAAATTACTTATGAAACACATCGGAAGGGAGTAGGAATCGAAAAGCTCAAGAAGGACAATTACATAAGAGAAGGAAATATAGTGACCTTTACAATCCTATACACAAATTAAAAGTACACTCAAGAAAAAAATTGAGGCACACAGAGCATTTGTCCCAACTCATGCGCCAGAAATCAAACTACTACTCCTGGACTCGACACAAGTGTGAAAATTTACCTGACTGATGAACCGAGGTTAAAATAAAATGCTCATCAGATTTCTGTACGTAAGAAAACAGCCATTTATTACAAACAGATTTTTTTAACTAATGGAATAAAAGAAAACACAAATTACTAACTTACAATTCTCTGTAACTAAAATTCTACCACTTTCAAGAAACTCCCATACACATAAACAGACATCTGAACAGATAAGATTCAACTATTATGGGTGGCAAAGAAACAAAAATATGTTAGTGAGGCACAGTCTGGGACCAGTCCAGATTAGACACTTTTCCTTCAGTTCCACTCCAGCTCTTTTCCACTCATTGAGGAAGACATGAGTTATAGACACAGCAATTCTCAAACCTTCATTCACCAAGTGAGGCTCTGCTTTTCATTGTCTCTGAAGGTGATTTTTCCCTTTCAAGGGAATTTGGCTGATTGGAATATCATTTTAGCTCTCTTTCTGTACTGTGAATGGAGAAATATTTTTTCATTTACAGTCTGGATGTTTCTGCTGCATTGTCCAAACACAAAGCTGTAGCCCCTTGCCCATGAACAAAATCAAGAGGTTATTATACTTTGTACTCCTGAATAATAACCACTGGTCCTGGTAGAAAAACCAATCAAAAATATGTCACTGGGCTAATCTGCCTCTGCACACAAATCCACAGAGCCAAGATGTCTAACACCCTTGTCTACTTCAATAAGGTCACACAATGAGTTTGAGTAACAGAATTGAGTAACAGAAATTGCAACATCTTCTACAGTCCCTTGATTTAAAACAGTATCTGGTCCCATTTTTTAAGTCCACAGTTCAAGAAATATAAATAGTGATTACAATGTGAATAGTCAAAGCACTTTGGGGGAGATGATAGCTAAGGCAGTTCAAAAAATAAGTGTCAAAGCATACATGCCTAGTGGCCCAGGAACTGACACACAGGAACAGAGGGAAATATCATTACAGTCTGCATGTGTTTTCTTGTCACCCTTATTCAACTCTTTTTAAAACGTTGTTCTTCTGTAATTTCTACAATGAACATGTGTCGACAATTGAAACAAATATCTCCTCTGCAGATATTGATTAAATGCTGAATGTTTCGGTTTCTGTTTTTACTTCATATTTAAAATGACTACATTTCTTATATTACATTTCCCCCCAGCTCTTATTTGTGACCACAACAAGTTGCAGGTTTACAGGCTGACCCCACAACACAATAATATTAAACCATTGCAGTGCCGTGAAATCTGTCATAAGATTCACAAACATTACAAAACAGGGAAAGCCACTAACTGATTTTCTGATGAAGGGTCTAGGCCCGAAACGTCAGCCTTCCTGCTCCTATGATACTGCTTGGCCTACTGTGTTCATCCAGCTCTACACCTTGTTATGTCAGATTCTCCAGCATCTGCAGTTCCTACTATCTCTGATACAATTTTAACCCCACTGCGAAGCCTCTTCTAAGGATGCCTACCCTGAAGAAGTTACCCTCCTCCCTCCGGATTTTCTGATGAAGGGTCTAGGCCCGAAACGTCAGCCTTCCTGCTCCTATGATGCTGCTTGGACTGCTGTGTTCATCCAGCTCTACACCTGGTTATCTAAGCCACTAACATACTATCTGAATAGGTTTGTGATGTTTCAAATCAAAACAACCTGAGCATACTCGATTGATATCTTTGAACGTGGCTCAGTTTTCTCCCCTTAACAGGCAGATAATTTAAATATTATTTTATCACTCCAGTCAACTGATCTGCATTTAATTGTGGAATGTAAGTCAAATGGCAACTGCTTTCAAAGTAAAACTTTGCATACCATTTCAATGACGCAAGGTATTAGTCAAACAAACATGATCTGATCAAATTCATATCAGAACTAGCCTTATTAAACAAACTAGGTCACTTTTACTAAAATTAACACCAATCTTCAAACAATACTTGTTGCATATCCTTCAAAGATGACGACATGTTTAAAATGTAACCAACTGAATTTCATGTTCATTAACATATTGGCTTCTATAAAACGTATTTTACAATATCAAACATGACAGAAGTCTGTTTGCTTCTTTCACAACAATATAATTGACATTAACTGTCCTATGAACAATCTGGCAAGCCATTCAGTTACACCAAAACCACTACA